ATACTAAGATATCCAAGTAGCCAAAGAGGAGAGCATTAAAGCTTGAACAATAAATATGTTCATTGGAGACTTTATCAACTTGCTGTGTGGCATTGTTTTGTTGTTGTTGTTAGTTGCAAAGTCATGTCCGACTCATCGCGACCTCTTAGACAATGTTCTTCCAGGCCTTCCTGTCCTCTACCATCCTCTAGAGTCCATTTAAGCTCACACCTACTGCTTCAGTGACTCCATCCAGCCACCTCATTCTCTGTTGTCCCCTTCTTCTTTTGCCCTCAATTGTTCCCAGCATTAGGCTCTTCTCCAGTGAGTTCTTCCTTCTCATTAGGTGGCCAAAGTATTTGACTTTCATCTTCAGGATCTGGCTTTCTAAAGAGCAGTCAGGGTCGATCAGCTCTAGGACTGACCGATTTGTTCGTCTTGCAATCCAAGGGACTTGCAGGAGTCTTCTCCAGCACCAGAGTTCAAAGGCCTCAATTCTTTCGTGCTCAGCCTTTCTTATGGTCCAACTTTCACAGCCATACATTGCAACTGGGAAAACCAGTTTTGAACTGGTTTTGAAGGCAATGTTTTGAACTCTGGGTTATGATTTAGAGCTGTAGTGGCACAATGGTTAGAATGCAGTACTGCAGGCTACTTCTGCTGACTGCCAGCTGCCTACAATTTGTCAGATCGAATCTCACCAGGCTCAAGGTTGACTCAGCCTTCCATCCTTCTGAGGTCAGTAAAATGAGGACCCAGATTGTTTGGGGGCAAGATGCTGACTCTGTAAACCGCATAGAGAGGGCTGTAAAAGCACTGTGAAGTGGTATATATGTCTAAGTGCTATTGCTATATTGCTATTTATCTTGAAGCCTAATTCACAGGTCTTGCCTTTGTTGGAAGTCCCTCATTAAACTACAACCAAGCCTGACCTTGTTTAGCTTTCTGAGCACAGACATTAGAGAATATTCATGCTAGCGGCCTTTATTAACTGCAGTGGAGGAAATGTGGAAATATTCCAGACTTTCTAAAAACTAAAAAAAAACCCACCTACCTCATGAGAACTACTTCAAATAACAATGGTTGAGGCTGCCAGAAGAGCAAGAAGCAGAACCAGAAGAAGACCTCACGAGAGAAATGCTAGTTCTCAAGTATTCATAGAATTCATAGAATGACAGAGTTGGAAAGGACCTTGGAGGTCTTCTAGTCCAACCCCCTGCTTAGGCAGGAAACCCTACACCACTTCAGACAAATGGTTATCCAACATCTTCTTAAAAACTTCCAGTGTTAGAGCATTCACAACTTCTGGAGGCAAGTTATTCCACTGATTAATTGTTCTCACTGTCAGGAAATTTCTCCTTAGTTCTGAGTTGCTTCTCTCCTTGATTAGTTTCCACCCATTGCTTCTTGTCCTGCCTTCAGATGCTTTGGAGTATAGCTTGATTCCCTCTTCTTTGTGGCAGCCCCTGAGATATAGGAATACTGCTATCATGTCTCTCCCTAGTCCTTCTTTTCATTAAACTAGACATACCCAGTTCCTGCAACCGTTCTTCATATGTTTTAGCTTCCAGTCCCCTAATTATCTTTGTTGCTCTTCTCTGCACTCTTTCTAGAGTCTCAACATCTTTTTTACATCGTGGCGACCAAAACTGTATGCAGTATTTCAAGGGTTGCATTACCAAGGCATTATACAGTGGTATTAACACTTCATGTGATCTTGATTCTATCCCTCTGTTTATGCGGTATTATGGAAACATTAGGTGCAACAGCCAAATGAAGACAATAATGTATCCATTGATATAGTTTGTTTTGTTCTCAAGTCTAGGTACTTACATAAGACCACTCGGAGAGCCCTGAAATGGATGTCTGTCAAAGTTCATGGCCTCTGAAAATACATAAATCTGGGACATGATGCCTCCAATTATAAGATCCCCTGGTTCGTAATATTTGTGAAATATAGGAATAGGGTCTCTGATTAAACACTGCATAGCAGTGTTCCTCCCGGCTACCTGGGGGAGTAACATGAATCCATAAAGTAGTAATATTTCCATATTTCATATTTTCAATAAAGAGAAGACATACTTTTCTGACATTCTCAGCCAATTAAAGAGAGAGAGAGAGAGAAAGGAGAAGTGGAGATGAAGATTTCAGAATCGGGTGCTCCTAAAGCACATGCTGAGAAAAGAATAAGGACTATTTATAATTTTTCCCCCAGCTTCTCTGTATAGCTTTTGCATACAGTCACTCAAATTCCCCAAAGATGAGAAATAGAAGGCACAATGATTATAGCTAATTTAATAATAACAAAGGAGTCAATGGTTCCAAGAATTCTCTGCAGCACTGAAAAATAAACATGTTTAGTGAATCTTAGGTGTACTTTTGTTGTAGAAAAGCCATGAAATTTTAGTGGAAAAAATTCTGCTATAATTCTGAAGCTTCAGGAAGAGAAGGATGAGATATGCATAGGCATTTATTTATTGAGCAAATGAATATAGCTGATGCACGAGGGTTTTTTTTTTTGTGTGTGTGTGTATGTGGGTGTGGTGTGCATGTTTGTATGTGTTGTCCCAAAGGTGCTTTTTTTTCAAGAGGCAACTGGACTTTCAGGCTTTCCTTTGAAAATGTTTCGCTTCTCATCCAAGAAACTTCTTCAGCTTGGACTGGACGGTGGGAAATGGAAGGATTTATACTCCTTGCAGACAGCTGGACATTTGCATTCTTTTAGTGAGTTGTTAAGGTCACCTGGATATTTATCTGTGTCATCAGGGTCACCTGAGTGGTGCAAATTGGTGTGCAGAGCCTTCTTGGAATTGTTGAAAGGACACCGATTTGCACCACTCAGATGACCCTGATGACACAGATAAACCTCCAGGCTTCAAAGGGCTCAAATGCTCCGTGTGTGAGAGAGAGAAAAACAGAGAGAGAGAAACAGAGAGAGAGAGAGGAAGAGACAGAGACAGAGACACAGAGAGAGAATGAGTTGACTGACTAACAGCATTTTCCAGACTCATTTTGATTACCAAAAGGGCTTTTGAAGAACAGCAAATAAATCTTTGGCAAGCTTGATGCTCATTGTGTCAGGGTTCCGACGGATGCCCTCATTAAATCATGAGTCTCAAGCCAAGCTTCAAAAGAAATCCAGTTATTTTTTAGGAACTTCATGTCGGCACGTTCCCAAGTGAAGCCAGCTCTGATCCTATGTAATTTACGCTCCAATTATGACCCTGTTTCCCCGCTCCTCCAGGGTGTGTCATCAATCACATTCACCAACGGAGCAATTTCACGGGTGGTAGAGGTCACTCCCCTCTGGCTGCTGTGGGTAACCCTGGGATACAGCCTTGAGAGACGTAAGTGTGCAATGTGCATCTGTCTTTGCAAGTGTATGCACACCAGCCCCGCTTGCACTGGCTCATGACTAATGCAAGGACTGTGTGCATATGCCTACCCACCCACCACTCACAGAAGGGCTGTGTGCATGCATGCATGCATGCATACCTGCCGCTCGTGCAGTCCAGTTCCTCTCTCCCCCAAACAGGCTGCCAAGCTGCAAAGGTTGGAGACCACTGAAGTAGGGAATAGTTCCTTTAATAATAATAACTTCTCACATATTATTAAGTATGAACAAAGTTTGAGCTAATCTAAGGATACAACTTAGATGAGGAGGAATAAAGCTCATTATTAATGGCGTAAAGAAAAAGTGTATAGTCTAATCAAAAGTTTCTGAAATAAGAATATTATTGGTAAAATATAAAATAAGAAAAAATAACTTAGAGTAAATTAATCAAAATTCTAATCTTTCTAACCAAGTAAATAACATAGCCTGTTGGTTATAAAAAAGAATAAGCCTCAATATCACTCCAGTTGGGATTTAATTTAAAGAAGAAGAGAAATGGGGATAGGAGTAAGTTTAATCGGTTGTTTGGAGTCAGTTTTATGACTCAAGGTGTTTATTCACAGACTTAAGAACAATTTCATTTCAATGCCTCTCTTATGGAATGGGATTTAACTACATATATACAACAGTGATTGGTCTCATTCAAGACAACAATGAATCTGCATACAGATGGGAGGTTGAACAACTAGCCTTGTGGTGCAACCAGAACAATCTTGAGCTAAATACACTCAAAACTGTAGAAATGGTGGTGGATTTTATAAGAAAATCTCCTATACTACCACCTCTTACAATAATAGACAACACAGTATCAACAGTAGAGTCCTTCAAGTTTCTAGGTTCTATCATATCTCAAGACTTAAAATGGACATCTAGCATCAAAAATGTCATCAAAAAAGCACAACAAAGAATGTTCTTTCTGCACAAATTCCCAAACCTCAAACTGCCCAAAAAACTGCCAATGCAGTTCTGCAGAGGAATTATTGAGTGTATCATCTGCACCTCCATAACTGTCTGGTTTGGCTCTGCAATCAAACAAGACAGACACAGACTTCAGAGGATAATTAGAACTGCAGAAAAAACAATTGCTATCAACCTGCCTTCCATTGAGGATCTGTATACTGCACGAATCAAAAAGAGGGTTGTGAAAATATCTACAGACCCCTCACATCCTGGACATAAACTGTTTCAACTTCTACCTTCAAAAAGACACTATAGGGCACTGCACAACAGAACAACTAGACACAAGGACAGTTTTTTCCCAAACGCCATCACTCTGCTTAACAACTAATTCCCACAACGCTGTCAAATAATTTACTAAGACTGTATTACTATTATTCTTCTCTTCCTTACTAGTATCTATATTTTCCCACTTATTACTATAACCATGTTGCTTGTATCTTTCAATTATATTGTTTTTATTTGTTTCCTAGTACGATTTGATAGCTTATTAGTCTTGACTATCACTAAGTGCTGTATCTTTTTATTCTTGAGGAATGTATTTTATTCTCCTTATGTACACTGAGAGCATATGCACCAAAGACAAATTCCTTGTGTGTCCAATCACACTTGGCCAATAAAGAATTCTATTCTATATCTCCTTCAGAGGGGTCATCAATTTTGACTTGTTTTAATGTTTCCCCTTTAAGAGTTGCTTCTTGTCATTCAGTTCTGGCCTCATCAGAATGATAAAGCACTTGGGGAAAAAGATGAAGCCCAATAATCCAAAACTAGAAGACAAAATGGAGAAGATCTCCACAGCCACTGTGTATTTTCCTTTGGTGCTTATGTAACTTGGAACAAAGGACAACCAAACACTGCAAAAGACCAACATACTGAAAGTAATAAATTTGGCTTCATTGAAACTGTTAGGTAATTTTCTAGAAAAGAAAGCCACCATAAAATTAATTGTGGCTAACAACCCCATGAATCCCAGGACACAATAGAACATTATAGTTGAACCTTCATTGCATTCTAAGATGATTTCTTCAGATAAGGAGTGTACATCGAAATGAAGAAATGGAGGAGAGGTTGTCAGCCAAACAGTGCAAATCATGGCTTGAATAAAGGTGCCAGAAATAACAATTGAGTTTGCCAAATCTTTTCCCACCCATTTTTTCATCTTTGATCCAGGTTTGGTGGCCATGAAAGCTAACACCACAATGATGGTTTTGGCTAACACACAAGAGACTGCCACAGAGAAGATGATAGCAAAAGCAGGTTGTTGAAATAGACACATCACATTGTTGGGATGACCAATGAACAGAGAAACACAAATGAAGGAGAGCAGGAGGGCAATGAGGAGTAGGTAGGTGAGGTTTCGATTGTTGGCCTTGACAATTGGAGTATCTTGGTACTTAACAAAGATCCAAAGCACACAAGTTGTGATGGAAGAAAAACAGACAGCAAGCATGACCAAAACAACTCCCAGGGGTTCATTATATGACAAGAAGTGTACATCTTTAGGGATACATGAATCCTGGTTATAGTTTGCATAGGAACCTTCTGGACACTGGGAGCAATCACCTGAGTCTGGAAGAAAAAAAGATTAGATTAGATTAGATTAGATTAGATTAGATTAGATTAGATTAGATTAGATTAGATAGATAGATAGATAGATAGATAGATAGATAGATAGATAGATAGATTTATCTGTTTGAATCAGTCTTTCTTATTTTTATTAGAAGTAATTAAACAAGGCTAGAAACTGGAATACTGTGAGTTATAGTCCTACCTAGGCATAAAGCCCACTGGATAATTTTGAACCAACCATTCTGTCTTAGCCCTAGAAGCGAGGCAATGGCTAACCACTAAGTAGGAATCAAGACTGACTCAAAGGCACACAATAAATAAATAATTAGTAAAGAAACTATTAGAAAGTATATTTTTCATTTCTTCTTTATTTCAATCATTGAGCAATTTAAAATAATGCCTCATAAAATAAATAGAAACTCATTGCAAAAAATATATTAGTTTAACAAAAGTACTCCATATATTTAATCATGTGAGGTAATACTGTATTACTCTTTGGAGAATCAATCTATGTGGGAGATGGATACACTGTAAATATAATAAACAAACAAACAAGAAAATAAATAAATAAGTTATCTCTGGATTCTTCTCTGGATTTCACAGAATAAAGTTCATCAGATTTTTAAAATTATTTTATATTTAATCCACTTCCACTGCCTAGAAGATTTTGGACCCTTTCTTGATATTGGGATTCCAACTGTCAAAATTCACAATCTGCATTGTATTTGAGATGTTATAATCTAATGTACCTGCTTTGAGTCTTCTACATTGAGGAATCATAATCAAAACTTTAAGCAAAGGACAAGCAATAAACTCTGGAAGCTAGTTCCATGATATTTCTTACCCTGCTGCTGAGAGACCTTCCCAAGTGGACACTGAAGACAATCGTAGCAGCAAAATGGCTTCCCTTCCTTTGTGGATTTTCTATATCCAGGGCTACATTTATTGTTACACAGAGAAAGAGGTTGGATCTGTGGGTCAAGAAAGCAGAAGATGTATTAAGTTTTAGCAAATATTTCTAAATATTCTAAACAATATCCATCATATTGATTGGTCAGGAGCAAGGATATAAGTTTCTGTTTTGACAAATGTCAGTGTTGAATGGGACATCTTGGTACGGCCAACTTGCTGCAGCCAAGTCGCCATGCTCAACTCACCATGGGACAATTCACTGCAGGGGAATTCAACAATTCAATGTAAGTATTTAACATAATTTAAAAAAAAATAATTTATGTCATTCACATTTTACTTTGTCCTTCTTTTTGCATCCTTTTTAAATGTTTATAGTCCACATTTTTTTCAATATTAGTGTAACTCTTAACCTGCAGTGAGTTGTCTGTGATGAGTTGTCTGTAGCAAGTTGTTGCACCATGAGTTGGCTATGCTGAATTGTCCTAGGCCCTGGTCAGTGTCTTTGTGTGTGAGGTAATGAAGCCTCACTTAGCCTCACTTGTCAAAAAAATTATGCATAAAAGAGACTGTTAGAACTTCTATTGTTTAGGATAATTCAGGGAATAGACAGAACTACTTCAGTACTTCTACAATAAACTATTGTAGAGTAGTTTCTCCTTCTGTCCTGGCCACTTTTTACAGAGGCATGATTGAGAGCATTTTAACAAACTACATCACTATTTGACTTAGTGGTAGCAGTGCCTCAGATAGAGTCCATACAGAGAGTGGTAAGGACAGTAGAGAAAATTATAGAAAGTTCCATCTACGTTATTCAGGATACTGCTTATAAGAGCCATGTACTTAGAGCTTGAAGCATTGTTAAAGACCTCACACACCCACTTTACATCTGTTTCTGTTGCTCCCCTCTGGGAAGAGGTTTCAAAGTATTTCTGGCAGGACTACCAGATTCTGTAACAGCTTTGTTCCCTATTCTGGTAAACTTGCAAGATTTATTTATTTTTTTGCCATGTACATGTATATATCTGAACTAGACTGTGTTGTTTCTCTGTGTCATAATATATGTGGTTATAAGTCATAAATCATAAGTTTATTTTGTCAAGCATATATAAGATAACAGATAAAAGTTGAAACATAATTTGAATACATGAAAAGAGTAAGTAAAAAAGGAATATTAGGTAGGCACGCTGGTGCACTTATACCCTTACAGACCTTTTAAGAATGGGGTGAGGTCAACAGTAGACAGTTCAAGGTTAAAGTTTGGGGGTTTGGGGAAGAAACTACAGTCAGGTGGTGCATTCCAGGCATTGACCACTCTGTTACTGAAGTCATATTTTCTGCAATCGAGTTTGGAATGGTTTACCTTGACTTTGTATCTATTACTTGCTCGTGTATTGTTGTGGTTGAAATTGAAGTAGTCATTGACAGGAAGTACATTGTGGCAGATAATTTTATGTACTATGCTTAGGTCAGACTGAAGTCAGCGTAGTTCTAAGTTGTCTAAGCCCAAAATTTGGAGTCTGGTGGCATAAGGTATTTTATTGCGGTTAGAGGAATGGAGGACTCTTCTCATAAAATATCTCTGGATTCTCACGATTGTATTTATGTGTATATGTATATTGTATTTATGTGGGTATATGCATAATTTATTTGTCTGTCTGTCTGTCATGTTTATGTAGTGAATATTGGAGATGGTGACCCTTTGAGAGTTGTATGCAATGAAATTTCATTTTAATGTATGCTGATTAGTGTACATTTAAAGTGACAATAAAGTTATTCTAAAGTTAAAGTTCTAAAGTACATCCTCACCTGATTAAACTCAGTGGGCCATGTGAAATTATCTACCAAAGTTGTGAAACAGTTATTTTCAGAAGCAAAGGGATCCACCTTTCCTACTTTTATCTTGTTAAATGACAGATTTGGGAATGTGATCCAATTGATAATATCAAATCCAGCCAATAATTCTCCATTTGAATCAAAGGAAATTTCGTCTCCAGCATTATTGTTGAATGAGACTCTTCTTAGATAATGATGGAGCTAAGTTGAAATAGAAAAACTCAATTTTTTTTTTAAAAAAAACACACAAATTGGTCATTGGTCATTGATAATTAATACAGAGTTGATCATTTACAGGATATACATATCTGTAGTTATTTCTTTATGTATAGTTTTAATAATTAAGCATCTCCATACGGCAGGATGTCCCATTACACTCAGACTGCATAGTCAATGATAAATGGTCTTTGGAGCATTCATTCAATAGCTGGATAAGTGAATAAATTCTTTAACTTTTCTGTAATACCAATGTAAAGTATGAGTTTATCTGGTTTAAGTAATTGATATCTGCAGAAGAAGTAGATAGGTCCAGCATTCTAAACATGGGTCCAATTTATGTCCCCTTGAAGATCTATTTTTGACACCCTCTCCATCCCAACCCTTAGATGAGATATCAAAATATAACTAGTTGTCTCTGAGATTATATCACCTGTTCCTTATCTTTGTTTATCAGACCAGTTCTATCTACATATTAATCAACTCCAAATATTGTCATGACATAACTCACATGCCTTATTTTCTCTATTCTCTGTCTTACCAGTTGCAGAAATATACATGTTGACTTTGGAATTGCTCACATGAAATATGACCCTAAACTGATCAATTGTTGTACTTCAAATATGAATGAAAAGACAAGGCAGAGACAGAAAAGTATCCATTGAGATTTAGAACATGAGCGCCTTTAAAAGACCGCAAGGAGAGATGATGAATGAATATACATGGAAATTGTAAACCCTTTTGTATTTGCATCACTGTGTTATACACAGTATTCCAGAGATAGAGCTTGTATTAAATGTTGTAATATTTTTTTCCCTCATTTTTTAAAAAAATCTTGTGTTCCAATGGGCACCTGCTGGTTGAGTGACAACAGAAGGTCACTGTTACACTGGTTATCACCAGGGGTGGGCTTCAAGAATTTTAGCAAGGGGTTCTCTGCCTGGTTGCTGGGTGGGAGTGGCCATGGTGGGCGTGGCATAGTCGGCCTCCTGCACCATGGCAGGGGGGGGTGCATTTTTGCCCTCCATGGACTCCAGAGGCTTTCCTCGAGCCTCTGGGAGGGCAAAACTTCTGGTAGGTCCATTTTTCGCCTGCCCTGAGACTCCGTGCATGCCCTGCACTTACCTGCATCCAAAATGGGCTGCATGGGGACTCCTGGGCGGGGCCAGCCAGGAGTGGGATTTGGGGGTTCTCCAAACTGCACAGAATCTTAGCTAGAGGTTCTCCTGAACCCCTGCGAACCCCCAGCAGCCCATCCCTGGTTATCACTACTGATCATTAGGATGTACCATTTAATCAGTTTTGTTCTTCTCAAACTGGATTTCTTGGAGGCCCAGATCAGCATTGTAGCTGTCCTCCGTGGGCCAGTGTGTGTGTGTGTGTGTGTGTGTGTGTATAGATGTGGGGGAGGAGATGGGATGGCCTGCAACACTCTGCCAGCCAAAGCCTGTTTTTGCTAGCAGAGGCAGTGTGGGCTGGTCCTTTGCTATTTCCAGGCTGGTCCTGCAGGCCAGATCTAAGCACATTGAGTTTGACACCCCTGTTCTAAAACTTGTCAGGGGTATATATATTTAGCCTTTATTGGTTATTTTAGTAGTGTATGTTCAAGTTTTTACTAGGATTTAAGCTCCTGTGGAGATTTGAATTCTGTCAAACCAGCATTTGAATTCACTATACTTAAAGAAGGGGACGTGGTGGCTCAGTGGCTAAAACACTAAGCTTGTCAATCAAAAGGTCGGAAGTTCAGCGGTTCGAATCCCTAGTGCCACGTAATGGGGTGAGCTTCCGCTACTTGTCCCAGCTTCTGCCAACCTAGCAGTTCGAAAGCACGTAAAAAAATGCAAGTAGAAAAATAGGGACCACCTTTGGTGGGAAGGTAACAGTGTTCCATGAGCCTTTGGTGTTTAGTCATGCTGGCCACATGACCACGGAGACGTCTTCGGACAGTGCTGACTCTTTGGCTTTGACATGGAGATGAACACCGCCCCCTAGAGTCAGGAATGACTAGCACATATGTGCAAGGGGAACCTTTACCTTTA